TTAATCGCAATATCTGTCAGAAAAATCCCAATTACAGATTTTCCCCAAAAAATCGTCCAGTCCTATCCCAGAGTGAGGTCTCGAACCCGGGAATCTCAGTGGTGCTGGTTTAGAGCGTCTGGCTGCTGCTGTAAATGTCCGTGCACGTGATGATGATGATTAAAATCATCAAAGAGCTATCATTTGTGATCAAATATGAATGGATTAGTTTAAGAGTCATTATGCGCCAACCCTTAATAAGCCACTCAACCTCATACATTCACGTGGCTGTGATTGCCGATGTTTGGAGGCAAGGGGTTGGTGGATCACGTAGCGATTTGTGAGACATCCCAAACCCCCTCTGGGCCTTGTAAGGGCACGTGACAACGCAGTAGAGCAGGCACCCATCTATCCAAAGCCTCAATTGGCACGGATGCTTTGGCCAATGCCAGTTCCACAGTGTGTGGTGGTTTAGCTACGGGAGGAGGAAATCTGAGAGCACAGAGGAAATCCCATCAGAGCAGAGGGAGAGCAGACAAACTCACTCACAGTCGTACAAACAAAAGACAAAGAACCCCCCCCCCCAGTGTAGCCTTAACAGACTTTGGGGCAAGTGCTGTTAGCGAGCAGAACGGCACACGAGGGGGTGGGTGGCCAGCACCACGCCCGGCCGCCTTTGTCTCCCCAGTGGTGATGTTTTTACGCACCGCACCAGGTACTAATTTGAGGCTGAGTCGACCTAGGAGATGCCCAGGACCGGTTCAGATAATCGTCACTGGTGTTGGCCGTGAGCGGGAATCGAACTCGGATCGCCAGGTTGATAGCGCAGCGTAGCGCTGACCGCTACACTACCGCTCGCCAAACGGTCATACAATCACTCACAAACACTCACACACTCTCACACTCTGCAGAACAGGGGCAGATCATAAAAAAAAAACTCACTCACACTGTGATACTCACTCACACTCACTCAAACTCTCATATTCTCACTCACACACACTCTCATACTCAGACTCATACAAACTCACTCGCACTCACTCACACTGTCATACTCACAAACAACAACAACCACAACCGCCATTCACCACTAAGTGGCGGTGACGTCACCACGACGCTTGTACCAGGCCATGTGCACGCTGAGGCCACGTGAAGTGTCGAACGCCCGCTGGCAGGAGGTCACGGGGCAGACCCAGGTGCCACGGGTCGACTGACTAAGATGACTGGCTGATGCACCACCTGTGCCCCCGACTCTGCCAACCTGCTGTGCTTTAGCCACCCGGCGCTCCACTCGTTGTTGTGAGCGTCGCTCCTCCGCCCTCCGTTGTTGCTGGAAGGCGACTGCCTCCAACTGCCCAGTAGCGTCCTTCACGAGCCTCCTCCACAGAGGCCGATCTTGACACCGCTGGTACCAGTCATCGGCAAGCCCACTCAGCTCCACATCCTCCTGTACCACATCACTCCATCTCTTCTTTAGCCCGTGCCGTGCCCGTTTAACCCCCTCAATCCGGCCGAACAAAAGCTGTTTAGGCATACGGTGGCTGGGCATGCGGGCTACATGACCCAGCCAATGCAGCCTTGCCTGCCGGAGGAGCTCACCGATGGGGCTTAGTCCAGATCTTTCAAGGATATGTGAGCTCCTCACACAATCCAGCCTGGTTAAACCCAGGATGGATCGTAGGCAGGCCAGCCTAAATGTTTCTAACCAGCGAAGTTGTTCCATTAGGGGGGTCCACGTTTCACAAGCTTAGAGAAGGGAGGGAATGACTGTGGCTGAGTAGACCGGAAGCTTCGTGCGGAGCAACAGACCAGGTAGCTTCCACACAGCGTTACGCAACCGATGAAAAGATAATGCCACTCGACTGATTCGGAGTGAGACCTCTGCTGTCAAACCGGAGCCGGTCATGAGCACACTGCCCAGGTATGGGAAACTCTCCACTCTCTCCACAACTGCCCTATCACCAAATGGGAATTATGGGGGTGGAGTGTCCGATGGTACAAAATACCCAGGCAGGTGCTTAGTTTTGGTGGGACTAATAGTAAGGCTCCACCTCTTAGTGGCACACTCCAGGTTCAGCAGCAGCGCCTCCAACTGCTCCTCTGAGTGAGCAGCAATTACCAGATCATCGGCATACATTACGCGGTTGAGCAATAGGGAACCATTCCTTGACTGCACCTGGGCATCGATCAGCCTCCCATTGTATCTGTACCAGATGAAAATTCCTCCGGTACAGCTATTGAAGGCTTCACGAACCACGTGGTCGAAATAGATGTTAAAAATGTGGGAACCAAAGGACATCCCTGTCCCACCCCAAGGTGAACAGGGAATGGCTCCGACTCCCAGCCACATAGTTTTACCCGGGCCCGCTCACCATCATGAAGGTCCTTAATGATCGTGAGCAGAGGGTCAGGTACTCCAAAAGCACGAAGAACAACCCAGAGCCCAGGCCTACTGATGGTATCATAGGCCTTGACCATGTCAATAAAGCAGAGATCTAGGTCTTTTTGGAATTCCCTACACCTCTGCTGTAGCAGACGGACAGATAATATGGCATCTGTGCAGGACCGCCATTTCCTGAAACCACATTGGGGCTCCGCAAGCCTCTCCTCAGCGTGCCTGACAAGGCGATGTTGAATAATCCTTGCCAGGACCTTTCCCAGCACACTGAGGAGTGAGATGCCCCTGTAGTTGTTACAGTATATGCGGTCCCCCTTCTTAAAAAGGGGGACCACCAGGGCATCCTTCCAATCCTGTGGAACCCGTCCAGTGGTCCAGACTGATGTTATGATGTCATGTAGGGCAGTCTGTGCACAAACGCCACCCTCCCAATCATCTCTACCCGGTGCCTTTTCTGGTCTCAGGCTCTGGATTGCCTTCAGTACTTCCTCAACAGATAGCACCTCAGCTAGCAACTCACAGGGGGTGACTTCTTTCAATATTTGAGGCACCAAAGCCTCAGCAGGGTCATCCCCACGTTGTCCCACGATGTTTTCCAGGCTGAGGGATTTCCCCTCCCCCAGGACCCACAAGAATACTCGGCAAATCTGCAAACCTTCCAATCCTGCGGAACCCGTCCAGTGGTCCACACTGTTATGATGTCATATAGGGCAGTCTGTGCACAAACGCCGCCCTCCCTCAGCATTTCGCTTGGGAGATCATCTCTGCCCACTGCCTTTCCTGGACTCAGACTCTGGATCGCCTTCAGTACTTCCTCAACAGATGGCACCTCAGCCAACCACTCACAGGGGGTGACTTCTTCCAATATTTGAGGCACCGCAGCCTCAGCAGGATCATCCTCACTTTGTGCCGCGATGTTTTCCTGCCTGAGGGATTTTCCCTCCCCCAGGACCTCACAGAAATGCTCGGCAAATCTGCAAACCTGTTCCTGGGGGTCGGAGATTGGATCACCATTATTTCTCATAATGATGGTAATAGGTGTGGCGCTGCAGGTTACTTTTTTATGGAGTTAAAGAGCGATTTGTGATCGCGGGCCATTGAGGTAGACTCCATCTCCTCCAACAACCATCCTTGCAGCACCTCACGGCTCTCTGAACCTCCGAGCGAAGGCTGCGGTAAGCCTCCTCATTCTCTGACGTGGGATGCTGTAGACGATGAGAGTGGGTCTGTCGCTTTTTCTCAGCCAGCCTGAACACTTCCTCTGTCAGCCAGTGTCTCTGGGGAGGTCTGGACCGCGTACCCAAAGCAGCCATTGCAGCTGCATGAGCCACAGTCCTAAGCCTCGCCCATTTCCCCTCGGCATCAAGAGGAGAGGGGGACGATGCCAACCCCAGCCACAAGCGATGATGAAATTCTCACTTGCAACTTTCAGCTAGCTGAGACCATGCCACTATGGGTTTGAATGGGGTCCTGGGTGTATACCCACCACTGGAGTGGAAGAATGGCAGGCGCATCTTACAGATGACAAGTCGATGGTCAGTGGGCAGATCAGCTCCACGGTAGGTCCTGGTGTCAAGGACATGGGCCCGCATCTGCTGTTCCGTCACTATGTAGTCCAGTAGATGTTCTTGCTTGGACCCTGCATGCATCCATGATGTTGTGTGGATGCGCTGATGCCGGAACAGCGTGTTGGTAATTCACTGACCATGGGCTGCACAAAAATTTAGCAGCCTCCTACCGTTGTTATTGAGCTGATCTGGCCCATGCCTTCCAATCACTCCAGACCAGGTGCCAGTATCATGACCAACTCGGGCATTGAAGTCACCCAACAAGATTACTCAATCCCAAGGGGCCACTTTAGCCAGCACCTGTGATAGGTCATAGAAGGCATCTGACTCATCGGCCTTGCATGCATCCCTCCACGGATGTTCGTCTTCGGTGGGGGCATAAGTAACCACGACCACCACTCCTCGCCTCCAGTTGATGGGAAGGCGAGCCCAAAGTAGCCTGGGGCTTACAGCTTCCCACACCTCACCGCCAAATCAATTCATAAAAAAACAACAACACATATTTTTTAAAATATTTCAAAACGTTAACGAACCAAAGAAAAAGTCCAATTTGGAAATCCCATCGGTGTTTATTTTTTTAGAACAACGATTCGAATAATCGACATGAAAAGCGTATAACAAATATAAGAATATATTTATCAAAGCATAATATTTATAAATATTTTATATTTATTAATATATAGATATAAAATATTATTTCTATTTTTATATTTCCATTTATAAAAATATAAATTATTTTTTATTGTATTTATAAAATGTAATATAAAATATTTTATTTGTATAAATATTATCTATTAATATATAATATATTTTAAAAATTCATAATTATAATATTTATCAAAATATATTATATTAGAACATATTATATTTTGCTATCATATAATATGTAATAAAAGGTTTCAGTTTGGTGTTTTAACATTTTTAAAATAACAATGTTTTATTTAAAAAACATTCTCATTTCACCAAATATGTTAAACAGCGAAACGATATCACTGACACAACCACCAATCGCCTCGCTCCATCTGTCGCCCGCATCACGTGCGCGGCTTCCAGCCAATGAGAGCCGCGCACGGTGCGAAAAGCGACCCTCCCTACCCAAGATGGCGGCTGCACGCTCCGGGCTGCTGGTGCCGCGGCTGCTGCTGGCGCTCGTCGTCGTCTGCATCCTCTGTTCCCTCTCGACCCCGGGCGCCGCGCAAAAGACGAAAGAGGTGAAGGAGCGCGAGCCGCCAAACTGAGGTTTCATTGTTTTTTAAATGTACAACAAAAAACGTTGAGCGCGACAAGTCCTGAACGCAGCCTGCAGTAGGCCGTTCAGTTCGGCGCGCGTTTGCATAACGTAGTCCGCTTAGTCCGGGTCCTCGGTTGTGATTGGTTGAGGTGGTCAGCGGCGCGCGACGCGATTGGTTGGAGCCGACGCTCTCCGCATATTCGCACTGGGGAATGTGAAACGTCTGCGGTGGGTTTCTTGGGTTTCTATCATTTTGGGTTGGTAATCTTTGGGTCTGTCGGTAAAGTCACCGTCGATTAGTTCAAATAAAATAACTAAAATATAACAAAAAAAACTACGAGGTATTTTCGTTGAACCTGTCTACGCGACTTTACCGAAAGACCCAAAGAATATGAATTCCTGTCACAGTTCCGGCCTTCATCGGTGCTGCTGCTACTCACTAACAGCACTTGCCCTAACAGTCTGTTACAGGCAACACGGGGGATCTTTGCACAGAGACCCATAGACTCGGACAGAGACACATAGACTCACACAGAGACCCATAGACTCACACAGAGACCCATAGACTCACACAGAGACACATAGACTCACACAGAGACCCATAGACTCACACAGAGACCCATAGACTCACACAGAGACCCATAGACTCACACAGAGACCCGTAGACTCACACAGAGACCCATAGACTCACACAGAGACCCGCAGACTCGCACAGAGACCCATAGACACATACAGAGACCCGCAGACTCGCACAGAGACCCATAGACTCACACAGAGACCCGCAGACTCGCACAGAGACCCATAGACTCGCACAGAGACTCATAGACTCACACAGAGACCCGTAGACTCACACAGAGACCCATAGACTCACACAGAGACCCATAGACTCACACAGAGACCCATAGACTCACACAGAGACCCATAGACTCACACAGAGACCTATAGACTCACACAGAGACCCATAGACACATACAGAGACCCATACACTCACACAGACCCATAGACTCACACAGAGACCCACAGACTCACACAGAGACCCATAGACTCACACAGAGACTCATAGACTCACACAGAGACCCACTGACTCGCACAGAGACCCATAGACTCACACAGAGACCCATAGACTCACACAGAGACCCATAGACTCACACAGAGACCCATAGACTCACACAGAGACCCATAGACTCACACAGAGACCCATAGACTCACACAGAGACCCATAGACTCACATAGAGACCAATAGTTTATTGTCCTTCCCCCGTACCTCCGATACGGTTGGCTACGTACAGTGCGAAAGAAGTTCAACATACACGATGCTGCTGATGTTGATGATACATGTGCTCATGTTGAAAAGCCAGCACCTGGTCACCGTGATAATGATGGTAATGGTTATATTGATGCTAATGGCGATTGCTGCTGCTGATGACACTGATGATGCTGCTGCTGATGATGACGACGCTGCTGACGATGACGATGCCGCCGCTGACGATGACGACGCCGCTGCTGACGATGACGACGCTGATGCTGACACCGCTGACGATGACGACGCCGCTGCTGACGATGACGACGCCGCCGCTGACGATGACGACGACGACGACGACGACGATGACGACGCCGCCGCTGACGATGACGACGCCGCTGACGATAACGATGACGACGCCTCCGCTGACGATGACGACGCCGCTGCTGATGATGACGACGCCTCCGCTGACGATGACGACGCCGCCGCTGACGATGACGACGATGATGACGCCGCTGACGATGACGATGACGACGACGACAATGACGATGACGACGACGCCGCCGCCGCCGCAGGTGCTGATGTCAGAGAAGGTGCAGCAGCTGATGGAGTGGACGGTGCGACGCTCGGTCATCCGCCTCAACGGGGACAAGTTCCGGCGCTACGTGAAGGCGCCGCCACGCAACTACTCGGTGGTCATCATGTTCACTGCCCTGGAGCCACAGAGGCAGTGCGGAGTGTGCAAGTACGGGAGGGGGAGGGGGGTATGAGGGAGGAGGGGTGAACAGTTTTGTTGTCATTGGTGTGAAAGGGGAGGGGAGAATGGGTGAGCGTGTGAGGGTGTGGGTGAGTGTGTGAGGGTGTGGGTGGGTGTGGTAGGGTGTGGGAGGGTGTGGGTGGGTGATTGTGGTAGGGTGTGGGTGATTGTGGTAGGGTGTGGGTGGGTGTGGGTGGGTGGGTGATTGTGGTAGGGTGTGGGTGATTGTGGTAGGGTGGGTGTCTGAGGGTGTGGGAGGGTGTGGGTGAGTGTGTGGGTGAGTGTGTGAGTGTGTGGGTGTGGGTGGGTGTGGTAGGGTGTGGGAGGGTGTGGGTGAGTGTGTGAGTGTGTGGGTGAGTGTGGAAGGATGTGATTGTGGTAGGGTGTGGGTGGGTGATTGTGGTAGGGTGTGGGTGGGTGTCTGAGGGTGTGGACGAGTGTCGTATGATGTGGGTGAGCGTGGGAGAGTATTGGTGAGTGTGGGAGCGTGTGGGTGAGCTTGTGAGAGCGTGTGGGTGAGCTTGTGAGAGCGTGTGGGTGAGCGTGGGAGCGTGTGGGTGAGCGTGGGAGAGTATTGGTGAGTGTGGGAGCGTGTGGGTGAGCTTGTGAGAGCGTGTGGGTGAGCTTGTGAGAGCGTGTGGGTGAGCGTGGGAGAGTGTTGGTGAGTGTGGGAGCGTGTGGGTGAGCTTGTGAGAGCGTGTGGGTGAGCTTGTGAGAGTATCGGTGAGTGTGAGAGCGTGTGGGTGAGCTTGTGAGAGCGTGTGGGTGAGCTTGTGAGAGTATCGGTGAGTGTGAGAGCGTGTGGGTGAGCTTGTGAGAGCGTGCGTCAATATCCACTCCGATGCCCGCGGTGAGCCACTCTTGCAAAGGTTCCCTCAAAACGAAATGCCGTGGTGGTTCCTCCTCCTCATCCACCGCCGTTGTTGTTGTTGTTGCTACCACCACGTGGTGAAGGCACGCCAACGAGGAGTTCCAGATCCTGGCAAACTCGTGGCGCTACTCGGGGTCCTACTCCAGCCGGCTCTACTTCGCCATGGTGGACTTTGACGAGGGGTCGGATGTCTTCCAGCAGGTTCGGGCTCGCCCGCTCGCTCAGCTGCTCGCCCGCCCGCTCAACCAACTGCTCGCTCGCCCGCCCGCTCAGCTGCTCGCTCGCTTGCTCGCCCGCTCGCTCAGCTGCTCAACTGCTCACTCAGCTGCTCGCCCGCTCAACTGCTCGCTCCCCCGCTCAACTGCTCGCCCGCCTGCTCAACTGCTCGCTCCCCCGCTCAGCTGCTTGCTCGCCCGTTCAACTGCTCGCTCGCCCGCTCAACTGCTCGCTCGACTGCTCAACTGCTCGCTCCCCCGCTCAGCTGCTTGCTCGCCCGTTCAACTGCTCGCTCGCCCGCTCAACTGCTCGCTCGACTGCTCAACTGCTCGCTCCCCCGCTCAGCTGCTCGCTCCCCCGCTCAGCTGCTCGCTCCCCCGCTCAGCTGCTCGCTCGCCCGCTCAACTGCTCGCTCGACTGCTCGCCCGCTCGCTCGCCCGCTCAACTGCCCGCCGACCCACCCGCTCACCAATTCAACCACTCCCTTGCTCAAGAACAACATCGGCTCTATCGTGTCTCTCTCGCTCTCTCTCCCCATATACCCCCATGTCATGTACCCACATCGTATCCCCGTGTGTCCCCGCGTCTCACCACGTCTCCCCCACGTCTCTCCCCCTTGTCTCTTGTCTCCCCCACGTCTCCCCATTATCTCCCCCATTATCTCCCCCACGTCTCTCCCCCTTGTCTCTTCCTTGTCTCCCCCACGTCTCCCCACGTCTCCCCCACGTCTCCCCCACGTCTCTTGTCTCCCCATTATCTCCCCCACGTCTCTTGTCTCCCCATTATCTCCCCCACGTCTCCCCCTTATCTCCCTCCCTAATCTCCCCCACGTCTCCCCATTATCTCCCCCACGTCTTTCCCCCTTGTCTCTTCCTTGTCTCCCCCATGTCTCCCCCACGTCTCCCCCACGTCTATTGTCTCCCCCACGTCTCCCCATTATCTCCCCCACGTCTCTCCCCCGTGTCTCCCTCCTAATCTCCCCCTTGTCTCCCCCACGTCTCCCCCACGTCTATTGTCTCCCCCACGTCTCCCCATTATATCCCCCACGTCTCTCCCCCGTGTCTCCCTCCTAATCTCCCCCTTGTCTCCCCCTTGTCTCCTCCACGTCTCCCCTTTATCTCCCCCACGTCTCCCCCACGTCTCTCCCCCTTATCTCCCCCATTATCTCCCCCCCCCCCCCCCCCCCCCCCCCCGCGGTTTCACCTCGAGCAGCTCAACATGAACTCGGCCCCCACCTTCATGCACTTTCCGGCCAAGGGCCGCCCCAAGCGTGCCGACACTTTTGACCTCCAGCGCAACGGCATCATGGCCGAGCAGCTGGCCAAGTGGATCAGCGACCGCAGCGAGGTCACGGTGAGTACGCATCGATCGATATCGATCGTTATCGATCGTTATCAATCGTTATCGATCGTTAGCGATCGGCGATCACAACCCCACCCCCGATCTGTCGTTGATCGGCGAACTTGCCCCGATCCGTTATTGATCGGCCGCAGCGAGGCGACCGCGAGTACCGATTCGTTGTTGATCGGCGATAACTCCCACGTTCATTATTGATCTGGGAATACACCCACATTCATTATTGATCTGGGAATACACCCACATTCATTATTGATCTGTGAATACACCCACATTCATTATTGATCTGGGAATACACCCACATTCATTATTGATCTGGGAATACACCCATATTTATTATTGATCTGTGAATACACCTCCATTCATTATTGATCTGTGAATACACCCACATTCATTATTGATCTGTGAATACACCCACGTTCATTATTGATCTGGGAATACACCCACGTTCATTATTGATCTGGGAATACACCTCCATTCATTATTGATCTGTGAATACACCCACATTCATTATTGATCTGTGAATACACCCACATTCATTATTGATCTGTGAATACACCCACATTCATTATTGATCTGTGAATACACCCACATTCATTATTGATCTGCGAATACACCCACATTTATTATTGATCTGCTAATACACCCACATTCATTATTGATCTGTGAATACACCCCCATTCATTATTGATCTGCGAATACACCCACATTCATTATTGATCTGTGAATACACCCCCATTTATTATTGATCTGTGAATACACCCCCGTTCATTATTGATCTGTGAATACACCCACATTCATTATTGATCTGTGAATACACCCACATTTATTATTGATCTGCGAATACACCCACATTTATTATTGATCTGGGAATACGCCTCCATTCATTATTGATCTGTGAATACACCCCCATTCATTATTGATCTGTGAATACACCTCCATTCATTATTGATCTGTGAATACATCCACATTCATTATTGATCTGTGAATACACCCACATTTATTATTGATCTGCTAATACACCCACATTCATTATTGATCTGTGAATACACCTCCATTCATTATTGATCTGCTAATACACTCACATTTATTATTGATCTGTGAATACACCCACATTTATTATTGATCTGGGAATACACCTCCATTCATTATTGATCTGTGAATACACCCCCATTCATTATTGATCTGTGAATACACCTCCATTCATTATTGATCTGTGAATACATCCACATTCATTATTGATCTGTGAATACACCCACATTTATTATTGATCTGTGAATACACCCACATTCATTATTGATCTGTGAATACACCCACGTTTATTATTGATCTGTGAATACACCCACATTCATTATTGATCTGTGAATACACCCACATTCATTATTGATCTGTGAATACACCTCCATTCATTATTGATCTGCTAATACACCCACATTTATTATTGATCTGTGAATACACCTCCATTCATTATTGATCTGCTAATACACCCACATTCATTATTGATGTGTGAATACACCCACATTCATTATTGATCTGTGAATACACCCACGTTTATTATTGATCTGTGAATACACCTACATTCATTATTGATCTGTGAATACACCTCCATTCATTATTGATCTGTGAATACATCCACTTTCATTATTGATCTTTGAATACACCCACATTCATTATTGATCTGTGAATACACCCACGTTTATTATTGATCTGTGAATACACCCACATTCATTATTGATCTGTGAATACACCTACATTCATTATTGATCTGTGAATACACCTCCATTCATTATTGATCTGTGAATACACCTCCATTCATTATTGATTTGCGAATACACCCCCATTCATTATTGATCTGTGAATACACCTCCACTCATTATTGATCTGTGAATACATCCACATTCATTATTGATCTGTGAATACACCCACATTTATTATTGATCTGTGAATACACCCACATTCATTATTGATCTGTGAATACACCCACGTTTATTATTGATCTGTGAATACACCCACATTCATTATTGATCTGTGAATACACCCACATTCATTATTGATCTGTGAATACACCCACATTTATTATTGATCTGGGAATACACCTCCATTCATTATTGATCTGTGAATACACCCCCATTCATTATTGATCTGTGAATACATCCACATTCATTATTGATCTGTGAATACATCCACATTCATTATTGATCTGTGAATACACCCACGTTTATTATTGATCTGTGAATACACCCACATTCATTATTGATCTGTGAATACACCTCCATTCATTATTGATCTGTGAATACATCCACATTCATTATTGATCTTTGAATACACCCACATTCATTATTGATCTGTGAATACACCCACGTTTATTATTGATCTGTGAATACACCCACATTCATTATTGATCTGTAAATACACCCACATTCATTATTGATCTGTGAATACACCTCCATTCATTATTGATCTGTGAATACACCTCCATTCATTATTGATTTGCGAATACACCCCCATTCATTATTGATCTGTGAATACACCTCCACTCATTATTGATCTGTGAATACATCCACATTCATTATTGATCTGTGAATACACCCACATTTATTATTGATCTGTGAATACACCCACATTCATTATTGATCTGTGAATACACCCACATTTATTATTGATCTGTGAATACACCCACATTCATTATTGATCTGTGAATACACCCACATTCATTATTGATCTGTGAATACACCTCCATTCATTATTGATCTGCTAATACACCCACATTTATTATTGATCTGTGAATACACCTCCATTCATTATTGATCTGCTAATACACCCACATTCATTATTGATCTGTGAATACACCCACATTCATTATTGATCTGTGAATACACCCACGTTTATTATTGATCTGTGAATACACCCACATTCATTATTGATCTGTGAATACACCCACGTTTATTATTGATCTGTGAATACACCCACATTCATTATTGATCTGTGAATACACCGCCATTCATTATTGATCTGTGAATACATCCACATTCATTATTGATCTTTGAATACACCCACATTTTTTATTGATCTGTGAATACACCCACATTCATTATTGATCTGTGAATACACCCACGTTTATTATTGATCTGTGAATACACCCACATTCATTATTGATCTGTGAATACACCCACATTCATTATTGATTTGCGAATACACCTCCATTCATTATTGATCTGTGAATACACCTCCATTCATTATTGATCTGTGAATACACCCCCGTTCATTATTGATCTGGGAATACACCCACATTCATTATTGATCTGTGAATACACCTCCATTCATTATTGATCTGTGAATACACCTCCATTCATTATTGATTTGCGAATACACCTCCATTCATTATTGATTTGTGAATACACCCCCGTTCATTATTGATCTGTGAATACACCCACATTCATTATTGATCTGTGAATACACCTCCATTCATTATTGATTTGCGAATACACCCACATTCATTATTGATCTGTGAATACACCCCCGTTCATTATTGATCTGGGAATACACCCACGTTCATTATTGATCTGGGAATACACCTCCATTCATTATTGATCTGTGAATACACCCACATTCATTATTGATCTGTGAATACACCCACATTCATTATTGATCTGTGAATACACCCACATTCATTATTGATCTGTGAATACACCCACATTCATTATTGATCTGCGAATACACCCACATTTATTATTGATTTGCGAATACACCCACATTCATTATTGATCTGTGAATACACCCCCATTCATTATTGATCTGCGAATACACCCACATTCATTATTGATCTGTGAATACACCCCCATTTATTATTGATCTGTGAATACACCCCCGTTCATTATTGATCTGTGAATACACCCACATTCATTATTGATCTGTGAATACACCCACATTTATTATTGATCTGCGAATACACCCACATTTATTATTGATCTGGGAATACGCCTCCATTCATTATTGATCTGTGAATACACCCCCATTCATTATTGATCTGTGAATACACCTCCATTCATTATTGATCTGTGAATACATCCACATTCATTATTGATCTGTGAATACACCCACATTTATTATTGATCTGCTAATACACCCACATTCATTATTGATCTGTGAATACACCTCCATTCATTATTGATCTGCTAATACACTCACATTTATTATTGATCTGTGAATACACCTACATTTATTATTGATCTGGGAATACACCTCCATTCATTATTGATCTGTGAATACACCCCCATTCATTATTGATCTGTGAATACACCTCCATTCATTATTGATCTGTGAATACATCCACATTCATTATTGATCTGTGAATACACCCACATTTATTATTGATCTGTGAATACACCCACATTCATTATTGATCTGTGAATACACCCACGTTTATTATTGATCTGTGAATACACCCACATTCATTATTGATCTGTGAATACACCCACATTCATTATTGATCTGTGAATACACCTCCATTCATTATTGATCTGCTAATACACCCACATTTATTATTGATCTGTGAATACACCTCCATTCATTATTGATCTGCTAATACACCCACATTCATTATTGATGTGTGAATACACCCACATTCATTATTGATCTGTGAATACACCCACGTTTATTATTGATCTGTGAATACACCTACATTCATTATTGATCTGTGAATACACCTCCATTCATTATTGATCTGTGAATACATCCACTTTCATTATTGATCTTTGAATACACCCACATTCATTATTGATCTGTGAATACACCCACGTTTATTATTGATCTGTGAATACACCCACATTCATTATTGATCTGTGAATACACCTACATTCATTATTGATCTGTGAATACACCTCCATTCATTATTGATCTGTGAATACACCTCCATTCATTATTGATTTGCGAATACACCCCCATTCATTATTGATCTGTGAATACACCTCCACTCATTATTGATCTGTGAATACATCCACATTCATTATTGATCTGTGAATACACCCACATTTATTATTGATCTGTGAATACACCCACATTCATTATTGATCTGTGAATACACCCACGTTTATTATTGATCTGTGAATACACCCACATTCATTATTGATCTGTGAATACACCCACATTCATTATTGATCTGTGAATACACCCACATTTATTATTGATCTGGGAATACACCTCCATTCATTATTGATCTGTGAATACACCCCCATTCATTATTGATCTGTGAATACATCCACATTCATTATTGATCTGTGAATACATCCACATTCATTATTGATCTGTGAATACACCCACGTTTATTATTGATCTGTGAATACACCCACATTCATTATTGATCTGTGAATACACCTCCATTCATTATTGATCTGTGAATACATCCACATTCATTATTGATCTTTGAATACACCCACATTCATTATTGATCTGTGAATACACCCACGTTTATTATTGATCTGTGAATACACCCACATTCATTATTGATCTGTAAATACACCCACATTCATTATTGATCTGTGAATACACCTCCATTCATTATTGATCTGTGAATACACCTCCATTCATTATTGATTTGCGAATACACCCCCATTCATTATTGATCTGTGAATACACCTCCACTCATTATTGATCTGTGAATACATCCACATTCATTATTGATCTGTGAATACACCCACATTTATTATTGATCTGTGAATACACCCACATTCATTATTGATCTGTGAATACACCCACATTTATTATTGATCTGTGAATACACCCACATTCATTATTGATCTGTGAATACACCCACATTCATTATTGATCTGTGAATACACCTCCATTCATTATTGATCTGCTAATACACCCACATTTATTATTGATCTGTGAATACACCTCCATTCATTATTGATCTGCTAATACACCCACATTCATTATTGATCTGTGAATACACCCACATTCATTATTGATCTGTGAATACACCCACGTTTATTATTGATCTGTGAATACACCCACATTCATTATTGATCTGTGAATACACCCACGTTTATTATTGATCTGTGAATACACCCACATTCATTATTGATCTGTGAATACACCGCCATTCATTATTGATCTGTGAATACATCCACATTCATTATTGATCTTTGAATACACCCACATTTTTTATTGATCTGTGAATACACCCACATTCATTATTGATCTGTGAATACACCCACGTTTATTATTGATCTGTGAATACACCCACATTCATTATTGATCTGTGAATACACCCACATTCATTATTGATTTGCGAATACACCTCCATTCATTATTGATCTGTGAATACACCTCCATTCATTATTGATCTGTGAATACACCCCCGTTCATTATTGATCTGGGAATACACCCACATTCATTATTGATCTGTGAATACACCTCCATTCATTATTGATCTGTGAATACACCTCCATTCATTATTGATTTGCGAATACACCTCCATTCATTATTGATTTGTGAATACACCCCCGTTCATTATTGATCTGTGAATACACCCACATTCATTATTGATCTGTGAATACACCTCCATTCATTATTGATTTGCGAATACACCCACATTCATTATTGATCTGTGAATACACCCCCGTTCATTATTGATCTGGGAATACACCCACATTCATTATTGATCTGTGAATACACCTCCATTCATTATTGATCTGTGAATACACCTCCATTCATTATTGATTTGCGAATACACCTCCATTCATTATTGATTTGTGAATACACCCCCGTTCATTATTGATCTGTGAATACACCCACATTCATTATTGATCTGTGAATACACCCACATTCATTATTGATCTGTGAATACACCTCCATTCATTATTGATTTGCGAATACACCCACATTCATTATTGATCTGTGAATACACCCCCGTTCATTATTGATCTGGGAATACACCCACATTCATTATTGATCGGCGATCACCTCTGCAGTGCACCGCTCGCTGCAAGCAGCACCCGATCTCCACGCAGTTCAACCCAGTCGACTCCACCTGATCACAGCGTTATCCCATCTCTTTGAAACGAACGCAGCAGCAGGCATCGTCAGGGTCGGGATGAAATCCACGACCTCCTGTATACCAGGCGAGGTAGTTAACATCTCCTAGCCACCGTGATGATGATGAGAGAGAGATACACACAAACTCCAAATATACAGCAACAGGCATCGTCAGGGTCGGGATGAAATCCACGACCTCCTGTGTACCAGGCGAGGTAGTTAACATCTCCTAGCCACCGTGATGATGATGAGAGAGAGATACACACAAACTCCTAATATACAGCAGGCATCGTCAGGGTCGGGATGAAATCCACGACCTCCTGTGTACCAGGCGAGGTAGTTAACATCTCCTAGCCACCGTGATGATGATGATGAGAGAGAGCTACACACAAACTCCTAATATACAGCAGGCATCGTCAGGGTCGGGATGAAATCCACGACCTCCTGTGTACCAGGCGAGGTAGTTAACATCTAGCCACCGTGATGATGATGAGAGAGAGATACACACAAACTCCAAATATACAGCAGCAGGCATCGTCAGGGTGGGGATTGAACCCATGACCTCCTGTGTACCAGGCGAGGTAGTTAACATCTCCTAGCCACCGTGATGATGATGAGAGAGAGATACACACAAACTCCTAATATACAGCAGGCATTGTCAGGGTCGGGATGAAATCCACGACCTCCTGTGTACCAGGCGAGGTAGTTAACATCTCCTAGCCACCGTGATGATGATGATGAGAGAGAGATACACAAACTCCAAATATACAGCAGCAGCAGGCATCGTCAGGGTCGTGATCGAAGCCGCGACCTCCTGTGTACCAGGCGAGGTAGTTAACATCTCCTAGCCACCGTGATGATGATGATGAGAGAGAGATACACACAACCTCCAAATATACAGCAGCAGTAGACATCGTCAGGGTCGTGATCGAAGCCGCGACCTCCTGTGTACCAGGCGAGGTAGTTAACATCTAGCCACCGTGATGATGATGATGATGAGAGAGAGATACACACAAACTCCAAATATATAGCAGCAGCAGGCATCGTCAGGGTCGTGATCGAAGCCGCGACCTCCTGTGTACCAGGCGAGGTAGTTAACATCTCCTAGCCACCGTGATGATGATGATGAGAGAGACACACACAAACTCCTAATATACAGCAGGCATCGTCAGGGTCGGGATGAAATCCACGACCTCCTGTGTACCAGGCGAGGCAGTTAACATCTCACCACCCCGGCGCCCCATCTCAACCCCGCGATCGTTCTTACTCTCATCCGCCTTTGTCTCCCCCCCCCCCCCTTTCTCCCTCCCTCCCCCGCTCCTCCCCCCGCTCCACCCAGATCCGCGTGTTCCGTCCCCCTAATTACTCCGGAGCAGTCGCCCTGATGCTGCTCATGTCGCTGGTCGGGGGACTGCTCTTCCTGAGACGCAACAACCTGGACTTCCTGTACAACAAGACCGGCTGGGCCGTCGCGGCACTGGTGAGGCACAGCAGCAGCAGCATCAGCAGCAGCAGCATCAGCAGCAGCAGCATCATCAGCAGCAGCATCAGCAGCAGCATCATCCTCATCAACAGCAGCATCAGCAGCAGCATCATCCTCATCAACAGTAGCATCAGCAGCATCAGCAGCAGCATCAGCAGCATCATCATCATCAGCAGCAGCATCAGCAGCATCATCATCATCAGCAGCAGCATCAGCAGCAGCATCATCAGCAGCAGCATCAGCAGCAGCATCATCCTCATCAACAGCAGCATCAGCAGCATCATCCTCATCAACAGTAGCATCATCATCAGCAGCATCAGCAGCAGCATCATCAGCAGCAGCATCATCAACAGCAGCAGCATCATCATCAGCAGCAGCAGCATCAGCAGCAGCAGCAGCATCATCAACAGCAGCATCATCATCAGAAGCAGCATCATCAACAGCAGCAGCATCATCAGCAGCAGCATCATCAGCAGCAGTAGCAACTGGAGCAGCAGCAGCAGGAGGCAGAGTCGTCAGCAGAATTGTCATCGTCTGTGTCAGCATTGTCATGAGCAGCAGTAGTAGCATCAGTAGAAGTATCAGCAGCGGTAGTATCATCATCAGCAATTAGCAGCAGCAACAGCAGCAGCAACAGCAGCGGTCATGGTTAGCAGATTTGTAATCATCATCAGCAGAAGGAGCAGCATTATCATCATCAGCAGTAGAAGCTTCTGAATTGTCATCATAAACTTCAGCCTTGCGTGTGTATGTGGTGTGTGTGTGTGTATGACGGTGTATATGTGTGTGTGTGCGCGCATGTGTGTGTGTGCGTGTGCGATGACGTGGCCTCAAGGTGCACATGGCCTGGCACAAGCGTCGTGGTGACGTCACCGCCACTTAGTGGCGAGGCGAAGGGCGGTTGTTGTTGTTGCTGCTGTGTGCGATGATGTGAAGATGATGGTGCGTGTGGGTTATGATGCGCAGGGAGCGGTAGTGTAGCGGTTAGCGAGTTCAATTCCCACTCGCGACCAACAGACACGGTCTGTGAAGGGATATGCACGTGTGTGAACGTGCGTGGATGCACACACGTGTGTAAGCGCTCTGAAACGATTCGCACACTGCGCTACGAGCCCGTCGACCCGGGTTCGATTCCCGCTCGCAGCCACCAACACCGTCAGTGACGATTGTCAGTACCGGTCCCGGGCCTCCCCCCTAGGATCGACTCGGCCTCAAATGAGTACCTGGTGCGATGTGCAGTAAACATCGCCACTGGGGAGACAAAGGCGGCCGGGCGTGGTGCTGGCCACCCGCCCCCTCGTGTGCCGTGCCGGCCTTCATAGGTGCTGCTCGCTAACAGCACTTGCCCCAACAGTCTGTTAAGGCTATACAGGGGTGTGTGTGTGTATGACGGCATATCTGTATTTGTATATGGCGTGTGTGTGTGTGTGCATATACAATGTGCGTGCGTGTGTTCTTCGGGTAGTGTGTCGTGTTCGCCATGACCTCCGGGCAGATGTGGAACCACATCCGGGGACCTCCATACGCCCACAAGAACCCCCAGACGGGACAGGTGGTACGTGCCCAACGCCCGTCTCCCCAGGGTGGCAGGACCCTCCCGAAGGACGTGGCTTCAGACTCGCTCGCGCTTTAAGTGACTGCTGGAGATGAGGAGTCTGTGGGTCTCTTGTGCGGAGTCCGTGGGGGGGTCTCCGTGTGAGTCCGTGGGGGTCTCCGTGGGGGTCTCCGTGGGGGGGTCTCCGTGTGAGTTCGTGGGGGGGGTCTCCGTGTGAGTCCGTGGGGGGGTCTCCGTGGGGGGGGTCTCCGTGTGAGTCCGTGGGGGGGTCTCCGTGTGAGTCCGTGGGGGGCTCTCCGTGTGAGTCTGTGGGGGACTCTCCGTGGGGGGGGTCTCCGTGTGAGTTCGTGGGGGGGTCTCCGTGGGGGTCTCCGTGGGGGGGTCTCCGTGTGAGTCCGTGGGGGGCTCTCCGTGTGAGTCTGTGGGGGGCTCTCCGTGGGGGGGGTCTCCGTGTGAGTTCGTGGGGGGGTCTCCGTGGGGGTCTCCGTGGGGGGGTCTCCGTGTGAGTTCGTGGGGGGGTCTCCGTGTGAGTCCGTGGGGGGCTCTCCGTGTGAGTCCGTGGGGGGTCTCCGTGGGGGGGTCTCCGTGTGAGTCCGTGTGGGGGTCTCCGTGTGGGGGTCTCCGTGGGGGGGGGTCTCCGTGTGGGGTCTCCGTGTGGGGGTCTCCGTGGGGGGGTCTCCGTGTGGGGTCTCCGTGTGGGGGTCTCCGTGTGGGGGTCTCCGTGTGGGGGTCTCCGTGGGGGGGGGGGTCTCCGTGTGGGGTCTCCGTGTGGGGGTCTCCGTGGGGGGTCTCCGTGTGAGTCCGTGGGGGGCTCTCCGTGTGAGTCCGTGTGGGGTTCTCCGTGTGGGGGTCTCCGTGTGGGGGTCTCCGTGTGGGGTTCTCCGTGTGGGGGTCTCTGTGGGGGGGGGGGTCTCCGTGGGGGATGCGCGACGTCCAGACGCGGCGCCAGGCGGAGCCGCGGAGTGAAACGGCGTCGCTGATCCTTCCCCTTGCAGGCATACATCCACGGCAGCAGCCAGGCGCAGTTCGTGGCAGAGACCCACATCGTGATCCTTCTCAGTATCCTTGACCCGTCCAGCAAGGGGGGGGCCTGGGTTCGATCCCAGACCCGGGGGTGCCTTTCTGTTGTGTGCGTGTGTGTGTGCGTGCGTGTGTGTGCGTGCGTGTGTGTGTGCGTGCGTGCGTGTGTGTGTGTGCGTGCGTGTGTGTGTGCGTGCGTGCGTGTGTGCGTGCGTACGTGCGTGCGCGGATTTTTTGTTGGGTTGGATCGCGTGAGTGTAAATGCGTCGTGAAACCCGCCATCATCTGACACGACCAGTTAGTAAGGGTTCTAGTCGCGTGAACAAAACGTGGCGATCAGTTCCGAGTTGGGCGCTCACCGCCGCGTTGGAGGAGGGTGAACCCACAACATTCGCCGTTCGAGTACCGTGACGCTTCACCGGTAGTTACAACCGGCAGCGTCGGGCAACGGCCAGAACTATTGGTCGCGAAAGCCTCCCGTGTTCAACCGTGTGTGTGGAGTTTGTGTGTTCTCTCTACCCCCCCCCCCCGCCACCGAGCCTGTTCCGCAGAGTGTGTGTGTGTGTGTCTGTCTTTGTGTGTGAGTGTGGGGAGCAGTAGCACACCGCATGCCCAGCCACCGCATGCCTAAACAGCTTTTTTGTTCGGCCGGATCGAGGGGGCTAAACGGGCGCGGCACGGGCTAGAGAAGAGATGGAGTGATGTGGTACAGGAGGACGTGGAGCTGAGTGGACTTGCCGATGGCTGGTACCGGCGGTGTCAAGATCGGCCTCTGTGGAGGAGGCTCGTGAAGGATGCTACTGGGCAGTTGGAGGCAGTCGCCCTCCAACAACAACGGAGGGCGGAGGAGCGACGCTCACAACAACGAGCGGAGCTCCGGGTGGCTAAAGCACAGCAGGTTGGCACAGTAGGGGGCACAGGTGGTGCATCAGCCAGTCATCTCAGTCATCTCAGTCAGTCGACCCGTGGCACCTGGGTCTGCCCCGTGACCTCCTGCCAGCGGGCGTTCGACACTTCACGTGGCCTCAAGGAGCACATGGCCTGGCACAAGCGTCGTGGTGACGTCACCGCCACTTAGTGGCGAATGGCGGTTGTTGGAGCGGTAGTGTCGTGGTTAGCGAGGCTCGTCGTGAGTCTGGACGGGGTCGTCGTGAGTCTTAACGATGTGCACAGACGTGGCGATCACCCTGGGAGTCGTCCTCCTGCACGACTCGGCCGCTCCAGACGGGGACATCGGCAAACGCAAAAGTGAGTCGGGGGTGGGGGGGTTTGAGTGGGTGGTTGGGTGGGGGGAGTGGGGGTGTACACAAGCCACTCGTAATAACATTACCACCATCACCCAATCATCACCATCACCACGATCACCCAATCACCACGACCACCACCCAATCATCACCACCACCCAATCATCACCATCACCACCATCCAATCATCACCACCATCACCCAATCATCACCATCAACACCCAATCATCACCACCACCATCACCCAATCATCACCACCACTACCACCATCATTACCATCACCACCACCATCACCCAATCGTCACCACCACGTAATCGCCACCACGTAACCGCCCGGCCATCACCATCACCACGCCACTGATGAGGCTCGATGAGCCAACACCATCTGTCCGGTGCTCGCTAACGAGCCCACCGCTAATTGTCTGAGCCCACTGAGCACAGCGGTGAGACGGTGGAGTAACGATCAGCAGCAGCGCCATCGTCGTGGTGATTACTTGGTCTTAATTATTCAGCAGCCAAGGGACCGCTTGGGTCACACCAGAAGCAGCAGCGTCGTTAACAGCAGTAGCATCAACAGCAGCAGCAGCATCATCAACAGCAGTAGCATCAACAGCAGCAGCATCATCAACAGAACCAGCATAATCGGAAGCAACAGCATCATCAACAGAACCAGCATCTTTATTCTTAGTTTTTTCGGTAAAGTCACGTTGAAGAGAAACAACAAAATAACAAAATATATATAAAACAATAAAAAATTCTCACGACGTTTCGACCATAACTCAAACGGTCATCATCAGGTGTGTCGGTTTGCATAAATTTATTTTGAAAACGGCATATTTATTTATATATATAAAAATAACGTTTGCGTCACGCGCAACGATGGCAGTTTGCCAGGACTAGTCCATCTATTTTTTGAAAAGAGGAGGGGGGAGACGAAATTTGTTTTTATGTATGCTGTCTGAAAGGCACTGTAAGCGTGAACAATCAATCAAGAACTGAAATGATTTATCAAATCTTTCCAATGATTGCTAAGATAGAATCCATCTTCTCGGTTGAAATTGTCTCTGTGTTTGTATATGTGGATAGCCTCATGAACGAATCTCTCATGGAAGCCAGATGGCTTACAAAGAACCTCCGTCTTGGAAAAGTCAATGGCATGTGAGCCTACTGAATTAGAACAATGATCTGCTACGGCCGAGGTGTTGGTCCTACCGTGTTTAAGGTCTGCTTTATGTTCACGAATGCGGTCCGAGATATGGCGTTTGGTTTCTCCAATGTAACTACTACCACAGAGGCAACTTAGTTTGTAGACACCAGGGTATTGTATGTCCGGAATCACATCTTTTACAGACGGAACCAGATCACGGATTTTATGTAATGTGTTGAAACGGACCTGGATCTTGTGTTTATTCAAGATTTTGGAGATCTTTTTTGTGATCCCAGCAATGTAGGGTAAAGTGATGGTTTTGAAAGGCTCCTCAAGAGGGTTCTTCTTCATGGTTTGAGTGATAGCTTTGCGGATTGTATAGTCGGAGTAACCATTAGCCCTAAGAGCTTGGTGTACGTGCTTGAGTTCACTGCTTATGTGTTCCTGGTCGGATATGCATTGGGCTCTATGATACAGAGTCTTGATGAGAGAATTCTTCTGTGATGGATGGTGGTGGGAATCCGGTTTCAGATAAGCATCCGTATGGGTAGCTTTCCTGTAGACAGAGTGGCTCATTGAACCATCAGGTCTCTTTTTAATTAGGACATCCAAAAAAGGGGGGTATCTTGCCATCTATTTCGACTTCCATGGTAAATCTGATGGCTGGGTGTATGGAATTGATGTGGTCGAAGAATTTGTCTAGAGCAGGCCGGCCATGTGGCCAGATGACAAAAGTGTCATCCACGTACCTCTTCCATAAGGTTGGGCGCAGAGTGGCAGTCTGGATGGCGTCAGTCTCAAATTTCTCCATGAAAATGTTAGCTATAACTGGAGAAAGGGGGGAGCCCATTGGGGTGCCCTCAGTTTGTTTGTAGAAAGTTCCATTCCAAGTGAAGTATGTATTGGTTAAACAGTGTCTCACCAGGGGGGGTACCTCAGTGTTTAGTCCTTGATGAACCAAGTCTTCAATGATTGCAATGGTGTCAGGTACAGGAACCTTGGTGAATAAGGAAACTACATCAAAACTGACAAGCAGGTCGTCTGGGGACAGGGAAATACCCTTGATTGTTGATACCAGGTGAGTAGAATTTTGTACCGCAGAGGTGGTCTTTCCAGTGAAAGGACGCAGGATTTCAGACAAAAAACGAGCTAGTTTGTAGGTGGGGGAGCTGATAGTAGAGACTATGGGACGAAGAGGTGTATCAACTTTATGTATTTTTGGTAAGCCGTATAATCTTGGTGGCCTGGCAGCAGAAGGTTTCAACGAAAACTGTTTAGATTGATCAATTAATGCGGTTGAATCAGAAATTATTTTGTTGGTTTGTGTGACGAGGCTGTTGGTGGGATCTCTTTTTATTTTTGTATAACTACCATCGTCGAGTAATTCTTTAATTTTGTTGTTGTATTCTATTTTATCCATGATAACAGTAGCATTGCCTTTGTCAGCTGAGAGAACTACAATATCATTCCTCTTTTTTAATTTATATAATTCAAAACGCTCATCTTTGCTGAGGTTGCTAGCTGGCATCTTAGCGTTTTTGAGGGTTGCAGCGATTTCAGATCTTGCTACGTCTGCAGCGATGTGACCCAGGCCCCTGAGAGCAACGTCTACTTGGGCAATTATATCATTAACTGGTATGTGTTTAGGTGTGACTGCAAAGTTTAGACCTTTAGCTAAAACGGATTTCAGACCATCGGAAATAGAACTGTTACTGCGATTAATTACGACTTTATTAACGTCTAACTTTTTGGTGTGTGGGTCCGGTCTTTTGTTTAAGAGGAGGTTAAATTTGGAAATCAGGTTTTCCTTACATTTGGTCGACATAGTAGCAGCTGAAGAGGCAGTCATATTGTCTACATGTTCCCAATCCGATGTGGACATTATTGCCGTCAATGATAAGTGTGATTTGTAGAGTGTCTTGTCTAACTGTTTTCAAAATAAATTTATGCAAACCGACACACCTGATGATGACCGTTTGAGTTATGGTCGAAACGTCGTGAGAATTTTTTATTGTTTTATATATATTTTGTTATTTTGTTGTTTCTCTTCAACGTGACTTTACCGAAAAAACTAAGAATATGAATTACTGCAGTCACGAAAGCTTTAAATCAAAATTTAGAACCAGCATCATCAACAGAACCAGCATCATCAACAGCATCATCAACAGAACCAGCATCGTCAACAGAACCAGCATCATCAGAAGCAACAACAGCATCATCAACAGAACCAGCATCATCAACAGCATCATCATCAACAGAACCAGCATCATCAACAGAACCAGCATCATCAACAGAACCAGCATCATCAACAGAACCAGCATCATCAGATGCAACAGCAGTAGCATCAACAGCAGCATCAGCAACAGAACCGGCATCATCAAAAGCATCAAGAACCAGCATCATCAACAGAACCAGCATCATCAGCAACAGCAGTAGCATCAACAACAGCATCATCAACAGAACCAGCATCATCAGCAACAGCAGTAGCATCAACAGCAGCATCAGCAACAGAACCGGCATCATCAGCAGCATCATCATGATGTTGTTGATGCTTTTGATGTAAATTATAGAGATGTTGACGACGACGATGTTGTTGTCAGTCCTGTGTCTCGTAGGCCTGGGTCTCGTCGTTTTCTTCTTCAGCTTCCTCCTCTCCATCTTCCGTTCCAAGTACCACGGGTACCCATACAGGTGAGCCACAGTCTGTGTGCGAGTCTGTGGGTCTCTGTGCGAGTCTGTGGGTCTCTGTGCGAGTCTGTGGGTCTCTGTGCGAGTCTGTGGGTCTCTGTGCGAGTCTGTGGGTCTCTGTGCGAGTCTGTGGGTCTCTGTGCGAGTCTGTGGGTCTCTGCGAGTCTGGGAGTCTCTGTGTGAGTCTGTGTGAGTCTATGGGTCTCTGTGCGAGTCTATGGGTTTCTGTGCGAGTCTATGGGGCTCTGCGAGTCTATGGGTCTCTGTGTGAGTCTGTGTGTCTCTGTGTGAGTCTGTGGGTCTCTGTGTGAGTCTGTGGGTCTCTGTGTGAGCCTGTGGGTCTCTGTGTGAGTCTGTGGGTCTCTGTGTGAGTCTGTGGCTCTCTGTGTGAGTCTATGGGTCTCTGTGTGAGTCTGTGGGTCTCTGTGTGAGTCTATGGGTCTCTGAGTCTATGGGTCCCTGTGTAAGTCTATGGGTCTCTGTGTGAGTCTGTGGCTCTCTGCGTGAGTCTGTGGGTCTCTATGTGAGTCTAGAAGTCGTGTGCAACGGATGAATTCCTTGTCTAACCCATTGGCGATGTTTGTGTCTCATTTTCTCAGCTTTCTTATAAAGTGAATATGGCATTGGCGAATGGAGGAAAGACGATTGCAGTAGCATCGTCAACATCGTCATCATCGTCAACATCTTCGTTATCATCACCGCTAATATTGTCAACAATCATAAAAACGTCACGCTCATCAACATCATCATCGCCGTCACCTTGCGACGGTCATCATCTTCGTCATCATTAACATCCCTGTCATTGGCGACCTCATCGTCAACCTCATCATCACCGCGCGCTCCCCATCACTGGAGGGGAAAACTGAACCGGAATGCTTTTTGGAAAGATCGTCAATGTGATTCTCTATTTTCTTGAAAAAACAGCAGTCACCTCCGTCATCACCTCCGTCATCATCTCCGTCATCATCTCTGTCATCATCATCTCCATCATCATCATCTCCATCCCCGTAGTCGTCACGGTTCGAGTGAACAGAGCGTGTAATGTTTTATAATTATTTCCTTGGTTTTCTTTGTATGAGTTGTGCAACAAAATAAATGAGCAGATGATCTGCCTACTCCCTCCCATACCTGTCTCATCAACTTACAAATTTATTTAAGAATGTTTGTGCATTCTCGCGTCCTGCGAGCCACATGTGTGGTCGGAATATCCGTTCATCCTGAGGGCTTGGTGTATGTGCTCCAGCTCACTGGCTAGGTGATGCTAGTGTAGTGTTTTGATGAGGGAATTCTTCTGTGCTGGATGGTGGTGGGAGTGAGGCTTTAGATAGGCATCCGTGTGGGTGGCTTTCCTGTAGACGGAATGTCCCAACGAGCCATCAGGTCTCTTCTCGTTCAAAACATCCAGGAATGGTAGCTTGCCATCCTTTTCCACATCCATGGTGAATTTGATAGATGGGTGTATGGAATTGATGTGGTTGTGAAATTGGTTCAGTGCTGCCAGGCCATGTGGCCAGATGACGAACGTGTCATCTACGTATCTCTTCCACAAGGAAGGACGTAGGGTGTATGTCTGGATGGGATCTGTCTGAAATTTCTCCATGAAAACATTCGCTACCACTGCTGGCGTATGGATTCCTGCGGTCACGAAAGCTTCAAATCAAGATTCCCATAGCCACCAGTCCCTTCGCACTCACAACTGACTCCCCTGTCATTACCTCCCGTGGCCACCAGTCCCTTGGCACTCACGACCGATACCCCTGTCATTACCTCCCGTAGCCACCAGTCCCTTCGCACTCACAACTGATGCCCCTGTCATTACCTCCCGTGGCCACCAGTCCCTTCACACTCACAACTGACTCCCCTGTCATTACCTCCCATGGCCACGAGTGCATTCGCACCACATGCAGGCACTATTGTCATTACACTAGTGACGAATTGGCACGATCTGGCTATGTCGGGTGGTGGCGGGTTTAACGGCACGTTTATATATTTACGCGATCTATGGATGATATTGGTCCTACGTGTTAAACTGTATTAAACAGGTTTGGCGAACCTATTGCAACGAGGGGCTCGCTCTGAAAAGGCGAACGAGTGGGATTTTTATCTCCTTTTCTGCAAGAACACTGCAGGAGACGTTCAGACGTTCAAACGGCAAATTGACACGCCCTGTATCGTGAGGCATCATCACCCGAACCATCGTGCTTGTGGGAAAACGTGCAACACAAACACTGCTTTGATCCGCGATAATGTGTGCATCGTCCTTGAAACGGATTGGTCGACATCAGAGCTACAGCCTCCTTCGTCGCCTTGTCTCTGCACCAGTTTAGGCTGTCAGAACAACGCCAAAGGACGAGCAGCACAAGGACAATGCAAGCAAACACGTTTTGATAGCAATTGTATGCATCGTCATTGAAACTGATTGGCCTGCACCACCAATGTTCGGCCACAGAACAACGCCAGAAGGCGAGCAGTACAAGGACCATGCAAGAAAACAAGTTTTGATAAAAACGTTATTGCGCTGTTTTTTAAACTGATTGGCACACACCAAAACTACAGCGTCCTTTAAGGCCTTGTCTCGACAGTTGTTAGCCCAGAAAACGCCAAAAGGCGGACAGTACGAGGACCATGCATGCAAACACGTGTTGACGATGATGTTTGCTTTGTCACTGAAACTGATTGGCCTGCGTCAGAGACAGCCTCCTTCATGGTCTTGTAGCCAACCGTGCTAATCAGAGGTGCAGGGGAAGAGGAAGAAACTAAACACAACAAGCAGTTTTAAAGAATTGAGTTTGTCAATCTAGATCAGCGGTGGGTAACGTCCGGCTTGCGGGCCCTTACAAGGCCCCGCGAAATCATTTTGATCTCTGGCCCTGCCAAGGCCGACCACAGGCGGGACTCGAAATTCAATAAATCTCGGAGCAAACCTGGGAAAGCAGTTGCCAGCTAACATCATCACATGCCTCGCCAAAGAGAAGCAGTTCCAGCCATCGTGTTAGGGGCGAGTTCATTAAATGTTTGACCAAATATAACGGGCTAATTTTTAAGTTGATCATTTTGTATGGGCCGCGAATGACGTTATAAATATCCAAATGGCCCTTGGCATAAAAAAAAAATGTTCCCCATCATCTAGATTCTAGATGATGATTTAAAAGTTCATAGCTCCAGTGGCTTCCTGATATCGGAAGGAAGAGCGTTCCACACGGCAATATAAATAAAGACGTTTAATCTGTATCTATGCACAGTGTGGATGTCTCAAATAGCTCTGGGATACTTCCCGACAAGGGAGAAAGCCGAACTTTGGTACCCAGGTAGCTTTCACGGCACACAAACATCGGTAACAATCTGAAAATCTGAGTTTGTTCATTTTAAGACCCACAAATCTTGATTTTAAGTGCCCCATTAACATGTGCGAGACGAGGCCCTAAGGGGCCGTCCATAAATGACGTCACGCGATTTTGGACGACTTTTGACCCCCCCCTTCGTCACACGGCGTCACAAAAATTCAGACCCCCCCCTCAAATATGACGTCACAAAGCTCTGCCCCCCCCCCCCAAAAATAAAACATTCTTCAAATCGCTTTAAACTATTGTCATTGTAGTTGCGTATTTAATGTGGCGCTGCACTCTGATGTTGTAGGAGAAACATTTATTAAAAAGTCGATTTAATTAAGTAGAACGTGTTGTCTATATTTAAAAAGTTGCGCATTTTGATGTGACGTCACATTTCTCAACCCCCCCCCTCGTCACGCATCGTCACAAATGTCTAACCCCCCCTCCCCCTAGGTGCGTGACGTCATTTGTGGACGGCCAATCAGGACGATTGCTTGTTTTGCGAACGAAACGGCGTGATATTTGTATGATTTTTCATTCGCTTTATTTTTATTTTATTGTTATTTGCTTCTATCTACGTGACTTTAGCGAAAGACCCAAAGGATACAATGCATCATATAGGATAATTGATTTGAAGCTTTCGTTACTGCAGGAATCCATACGCTTTCGTTCTTTCGGTAAAGTCACGTGGGTAGAAAATAAATCACGACGTTTCGGGCGCAACAGAACAAGCGTCCGTCATCAGCTTTCCCACCTGATGACGGACGCTTGTGTTTGCGCCTGAAACGTCGTGATTTATTTTATACCTACGTGACTTTACCGAAAGAACCAATGAGTATTTATAATACTTATAAGAGCCACGTGTGTTTTACATGTTCACCACAAAGCACATTCACCACGCACCAGCGTGCGTGGTGAATGCAGTAACTTGATTCCTTGCAAAAGGTTTATATTTGGTGTTTGAACATCGTAACACAACTCCTGTTTTGTTTCCAGGAAGTGTTAGACCAATGATTATTTTTGTATACTTTGATACTGGAAAAAAAAGGCATCCCATCATACAGCTTCTCACCCCGAGCTATACAGACTCTGATAGTGGCATTGTCCTTGTCCTGTTCGACTTTTGGCGTTCTCTGGTCTGACACTGGTGGTGAGACGAGGCCGACATGCAGCACCCCCCCCACCACCACCCCCCCCCCCCCATCACCACCCCCATCACCACCCCCCCATCACCACTCACACCAACCACCACCCACACCACCCACCCCCACCACCCACCACCCCCCCATCACCACCCACCCCCCCCATCACCACGCCCATCCCCACCCACACCAACCACCACCCCCCCCCATCACCACCCCCACCAACTACCACCCCCACCACCACCCACACCACCCACCCCCACCACCCCATCACCACCCACACCAACCACCCACACCAACCACCACCACCCCCCCATCACCACTCCCATCATCACCCACACCAACCACCACCCCCACCACCACTCCCCCCCAATCACCCCCCAGCGCCACCCACACCAACCACCCCCCCCCCCACCTCCACCACCACCCCTACCACCACCACCACCCCCCCCCCAATCACCCCCCCCATCACCACCCACACCAGCCACCCCCCCCCACCACCACCCCCCCAATCACCACCCCCCCCACCAACCACCACCCCCACCACCACCCCCCCACCACCACCCCCCCCCCCATCACCACCCACACCAACCACCCCCACCAACCACCCTAACAAATAACTACCGACCTATCTCAATTTTGTCCCCGTTGATGAAAATTTTTGAAAAATTATTGAACTACCAAATTAAAAGTTTCCTATTATATTCTTGGTTCTTTCGGTAAAGTCACGTAGAAGGAAAATAATAAAAAAACAATAAATTCTCACGGCGTTTCGATTGCAACACAAGAAATCATCATCAGGTGTGAAAAAAACCACAGCAAGAAATGTTGAAAAAAGTGGCTGTGGTTTTTTCACACCTGATGATGATTGCGTGTGTTGCAATCGAAACGTAGTGAGAATTTTTTTTTTAAATTTCCCTTCGACGTGACTTTACCGAAAGAACCAAGAATATGAATCCCTGCAGTCACGAAAGCTTTAAATCGAAATGAAATTTAGAAGTTTCCTGTCTGACAACAATCTATTACATCTAAAACAATCTGGGTTCCGAAAAAAATACAGCACCACATCTGCTGCATTAGACTCTGAATCACATTTACAGTAGCCTTGATTATAAGCAGTACTGCGCCTGTCTTTTTCTTGACTTGTCCAAAGCCTTTGATACAGTAGACCACAACACCCTGCTATGTAAACTAAGTTGCCTCGGTTTCTCCAAACACGCAGTAGAATGGTTAAAAATGTACCTCTCTTCTCGCACCCAAACTGTATTCACAGATGGTTGGAGGTCATACAGTGTTAAGATAACATTAGGGGTTCCACAGGGTTCCATCCTCGGCCCCCTCTTGTTCTCTCTTTATGTTAATGACTTGGGCACTGACCTGGATCATTCCAGGGCAGGTGACATGATACTGATTACTGCTGGCCGCTCTCCGGATGACGTGATTGCTGAGCTCCAGGGTTATTTCGACAAACTACATCAGCTAGTTTCTCTTAAACTAGTCCTGAATACCTCCAACACCAAGGTGCTATGCTTCTCACCAGGACTAAATCAGGAAGTATTTTTTCCCCAATTACATTCCTTAAATAATTATCAAATAGAGCAGGTCAAGATCTATAAGTATCTTGGGGTCATCCTGGATTCAAAACTGAATTTTGAAGATCACATTGATTATATTGGTAAAAATACAAAAATAACAATTGGTTTTCTGTATCTACACAAGCACTGCTTCCCCCCTATGTTCCGTTTGGAATTGATAAAAGCTACCATACTGCCTCTACTTGATTACTGTGATATCGTGTATAAATCAGCCCCAAGTACTGTACTGAAGAGGCTTGACTCAATTTATCACTCGGCCTTAAGATTTGCATTGAACTGCCCATATAGGACTCACCACTGTGATCTCTACATTGGGTCAAACTTAACATCTCTTAATGTTCGACGGCTTGTGCACCAGATCTTATTTATTTACGATGTACTTACAAAAAAATCCGCAGACTACCTGCTGGATCTCCTCTCTGTTTCGAAGAACAAATTTGACCTAAGGTCTTCGCTCATTTACCAGCTTCACATTCCCTATTGCTGTACAAAAACTGGAGGAAGGGCCTTTGCTATTGATGCCCCCAGGGTCTGGAATGCTATTGCCAATAAACTGCAACTTGAATCACTACTTATGAGATCTTCACTCAAAACTGCTCTAGATGAGTTGTACACCCCTAGCTGCCACTGCTATTCAGTGGCCTAAAATCAAATGTTTCGCTCCGGATGACCACTGCAAAGTATGATCTTGTGTTTTGATTTAGTGTGCTGATCTATAAAGGTGCATTGAAAAATGTTGATACTCCTACTGTTGTGGAGTGACTCATGCAGCCAGCTATGGCTGCAGGGTTTGGTGGTACATGTTGTTAATGTCGTTTATTGTGAAATTCGGTCACAGTTCCTATGATCACTGTTACATTGCTTTTATGGCTTTATTTTGGTGATTTTGAAAAGTTTTTTGGTTTGGCCGTGTTTGTTTGTTGTAGTACGGAGTTAGACTGATGGCTTTAATCTCAGTTGTCTTGTGGTTGTTGTTGTTTGACTTGCATCCCACTGGGATTTTTGCACACAGCGTTGGTGTGTACGGTGCTTTTTCTGGAAGTTTTTTCCTGTTCGCACATAGTCACTTTAAGATGTTTTCTTGTTCATGTTTTGGTTTTTTTGTTTCAAGTTTCATTTATTGGGTATAGCCCTTTTTAAAGCTTTCGTGACTGCAAGGATTCGTCTTCTTTGGTTCTTTCGGTAAATCAGAATCAGAAAGGGTTTTATTCGCCATGTAAGTTCACACCGACACGGAATTTACTTTGGCAGGATGGTGCATACATTCAACATATAGGAATCTAAAATCTTAAATAAGTTTTAAACAAGTCTTACTATAATAAGGGTTAAAAGTCTAACACTAAGGGGCTGAAGTATATAAAATTAAATAAATATCGAATATAAAATAGCTTTAAGATATAATTTAAAAATACAAATAGGGAAACATAGTTAATATCAGCAACGTGTCGTTATGTAGATCAAATGTTAAAAACAGTGTTAGCCCTTGGCCTTGTTTAACAGGCCAGCAGCAGATGGGAAGAAACTGTTTTTATGGCGTGAGGTTTTGGTCCTGATGGACCGAAGCCTTCTGCCGGAGGGGAGTAGCTGAAACAGAGAGTGTCCAGGGTGGGAGAAATCGGCCATAATATTCCTCGCTCGCCTCATAGACCTTGTCGTGTGCAGGTCCTCGAGGGTCGGTAGATTGCAGGCAATTACCTTCTCAGCAGTGTGGATGATACGCTGCAGTCTGCTCTTGTCCTTGGCAGTGGCAGCAGTGTACCAGACGGTTATGGAGGAGGTGAGGATGGATTCAATGATCGCTGTATAGAATTGCACCATCATTGTCTTTGGCAGGTTGAATTTCTTCAGCTGCCGTAGAAAGTACATCCTCTGTTGAGCTTTCTTGGTGAGGGAGCTGATGTTCAATTCCCACTTGAGGTCCCGGGAAAGAATAGTGCCCAGGAAGCGGAAGGACTCTACAATTTTTACTGGGGAGTCTAACAGGGTGATGGGGGTGAGTGGTGCTGTATTCTTCCTGAAGTCCACAACCATCTCAACTGTCTTTAGAGCATTTAGCTCTAAGTTGTTCTGGCTACACCAGGTCACCAGATTGTCAGCTTCCCACCTATAGTCAGACTCATCCCCACCAGAGATCAGCCCAATGAGGGTGGTGTCATCCGCAAACTTCAATAGTTTGACGGACAGATGATTGGAGGTGCAGCTGTTGGTATACAGGGAGAAGAGCAGAGGGGAAAGGACGCAGCCCTGAGGAGTTCCGGTGCTGATGGACCTGGAGCCAGAGACTTGTGTTCCCAGCTTAACGCACTGCTTCCTGTCAGACAGGAAGTCTGTGATCCATTTACAGGTGGTGTATGGCACGTTCAGCTGGAAGAGCTTGTCCTGAAGCAGGGCAGGGATGATGGTGTTGAAGGCAGAGCTGAAGTCCACAAACAGGATCCTGGCGTAGGATGCTGGGGCGTCCAGATGCTGTAGGGTGAAGTGGAGGGCCATGTTAACTGCATCGTCCACAGACCTGTTGGCTCTGTAGGCAAACTGAAGGGGGTCCAGGAGAGGGTCTGTGATGGCTTTGAGGTGTGCCAGGACCAGGCGCTCAAAAGACTTCATTACCACAGATGTAAGGGCGACCGGTCTGTAATCATTTAGTCCTGTTGGCCTTAGCTTTTTGGGCACAGGGATGATGGTGGAGGACTTGAGACAGGCTGGTACATGGCATGTCTCCAGGGAGGTGTTAAAGATGTTGGTGAACACCGGAGACAGCTGGTCAGCGCAGTGCCTGAGGGTGGCTGGAGAGACAGAGTCCGGCCCGGCTGCTTTGCGTGGATTCTGCCTCTTGAAAAGTCTATTAACTTCTCCCTCCTGAAAGGAGATAGTCGTCTCTGTAGTATTGGTGGGGGATGGGGCCTCTTGGGTTGGAAGGGGTGGTTCAGGACAGTCCAATTGTCTTTCAAATCTACAGTAGAACTCGTTCAGGTCGTTGGCTAGGCGGGAGTCGTTAGTGGTGTGGGGGGCTCTGGGTTTGTAGTTGGTGATCTGCCTGAGCCCTCTCCAGACAGAAGCAGCGTCGTTTGTAGAGAACTGGTGTTTTAGTCTCTCTGAGTACAGTCGTTTAGCCTCGTAGAATGAGAATAAAATAATAAATTTATAAAATAACACAATAAAATTCTCACGACGTTTCGGCCACAACACAAGCGGCCTTCATCAGGTGAAGGGACGAGACTGTCTGTCAAGCTCAGACCGCGGTCTGAGCTTGGCTGTGTTCGCTCCAGCGCTGTCCTCCAGACAGTCTCGTCCCTTCACCTGATGAAGGCCGCTTGTGTTGTGGCCGAAACGTGGTGAGAATTTTATTGTGTTATTTTATTTTATCAATGTATTATTTTATTCTCATTCTACGTGACTTTACCGAAAGAACCAAAGAAGATGAATCCTTGCAGTCACGAAAGCTTTACATCAAAATTTATTTAATTCTCATTCTACGCGACTTTACCGAAAGAACCAAAGGAAGATGATATAGCCCTGTGAGCCATGCGGCTCTTCTTAAGTCGGGTACAACCGCAGCACCCGATTCAAGAGCCGAATGGCTCACAGGGCTATACCAAAATGAATGAAACTGAAAACCACCCCCACACCAACCCACCCCCCCTCTTGTATATAAACACACGGTGCGACGTCACACCGGGCCCGGAAGTGACGACACCCGCGCGGAAGTGACGCAAGGGCCCCCCCTCCCGGCCCCCCCACCCCAAAAAAAAAAACCCCGCGCGGCGTCCATCTCTGAAAACAGAGACGGGAGAGAGAGAGAGGGAGAGACAAAGACGGACGCGGCGGCGACGACGACTACAACAACCAAACGGAGACTGGGAGAGAAACAAAGAAGCCCGTGGCGGAGGGAGAGAGGAGACGAGGAGGAGGGAGGAGACGCGGGCGGGAAAGCCGGCGACGTTATGTCGACCAAACGAAAGAGGTGAAAATTTTGTTCGCAAGTCCGTTCTCGTCGTCATCATCGTCGTCGTCGGCGGCGGCTGTTCTTGTCCACTGCTCCCGCATTCGTCCCCGCGCGCGCGGGCCGTGAAGTCTTCCCGCCGCCTCGCGTCGGCCTAAAAGGCTTTGACGGAGCCTCTTTTTTTTAAGTGCGGCTGCGTTGAATGGTGGTGGTTGTTTTTAGTGGTCGTCGTCGAACGGTTCGATCGATCGGCATATTCGACAACAAGCAATTTTATTTTGTTATATTAAAAAAAAAACTCTACCCCCGCACACCCACCGGAATTTTTATATATATAAAATAAAAAAAATTTGCCTCAGGAAAAAAAATAATCTCAGAGGGGGAAAAAAAATGGGGCCCACTGCTCGAAAATGTTATAGCGGATAAGCGGACGAGCGCGCGCGCGCATCTCCCCATTGGTGTGCCGGGCCGCACGTGACGCGGCCGCGGCCAATGGAGTCGCGCGGAGAGCGCGTGCGGGGTGGGGATTGCAAGGGCGAGTGACGTCACCCTTTGTGGGGATTTTTGTGTTATTTTTTTGTTAATTTAGCGCAACGTTGAATGTACGCGTTGGGTGTCTTGTCAACGCCATTGCAATTGCTTCGTGTGTGTGTGCATACGATATAGGTTAACTGTTAATTGCAATACATCGTGCCCGTAATTTCCGCCCGCTTTATAATCGGTGCAACGAGTGCGTTGTGTGCCTGTAACGTGAGTGGATCGCTGCATGTGGAGTTGCTGGCGTGAGCACGTGAGCAGTGAGTAGTGTGTCCAGTGTGTAACGTGTGGTGTGTCCAGTGTGTAACGTGTGGTGTGTACAGTGTGTAACGTGTGTGTACAGTGTGTAACGTGTGTGTACAGTGTAACGTGTGGTGTGTACAGTGTAACGTGTGGTGTGTACAGTGTAACGTGTGGTGTGTACAGTGTGTAGCGTGTAGTGCGTACAGTGTAACGTGTGGTGTGTGCAGTGTGTAACGTGTAGTGTGTACAATGTGTGACGTGTGGTGTGTACAGTGTAACGTGTGGTGTGTGCAGTGTAACGTGTGGTGTGTACAGTGTGACGTGTGGTGTGTACAGTGAGTAACGTGTGGAGTGTACAGTGTGTAACTTATACAGTGTAACGTGTAGTGTGTACAGTGAGTAACGTGTGGAGTGTACAGTGTGGCGTGAGTAAAATGAGTACCGTGTAGTGTGTAATGTGTGGAGTGTACAGTGTAACGTGTGGCGTGAGTAGAATGAGTAGCGTGTGGAGTGTACAGGGTGTAACGTGTAGTGTGTACAGTTTAACGTGTGGAGTGAGGAGCGAGTAGTGTGTACAGTGAGTAACGTGTGGAGTGTACAGCGCGTAACGTGTGGAGTGTACAGTGTGTAACGTGTGGAGTGAGCAGAATGAGTAGCGTGTAGTATGTACTGTGTGTAACGTGTGGAGTGTACAGTGTAACGTGTGGTGTGTACAGTGCGTAACGTGTGGTGTGTGACGTGTGGAGTGTACAGTGCGTAACGTGTGGCGTTAGTAGCGTGAGTAGTGTGTACAATGTGTAACGTGCGGCGTGTACAGTGCGAACGTGTACAGTGCGAACGTGTACAGTGTAGCGTGTGGGGTGTGTAACGTGTGGTGTGTACAGTGTGTAACGTGTGGCGTGAGTATCGCGGAGTGTACAGTGCGTAACGTGTGGCGTAAGTAGTGTGTAGCGTGTGGAGGGAGTAACGTGTGGAGCGTGTGGAGTCAACCGCGTGTGGAGTGAGCAACGTGTGCGTGGGTGGACTCCACCTCAACTTGTTGCGGTTATGCACTGTACTCAACATCGTCACTGGAGTGGGGGGGGGACAAAGGCGGCCGGGGCTGTTGCTGGCTTATAAACCACTCGCCACACTCGTGTGACACGTGCCGGCCTTCACCGGTGCTCGGGAACAGTATTTGTTCCCCAATAGTGGGTCGACTTGACCTCAAATGAATACGCGATGCGGTGTGTAAACATTAGCGCGGGGGAGACAAAGGCGGCCGGGCGTGGTGCTGGCCACCCACCCCTGTCGTGTGCCGTGCCGGCCTTCGTAGGTGCTCGCTAACAGTACTTGCCCCAACAATCTGTTAATCCTTAGCGGGGTATCTTTGTGTCATCTCAGTCCGTTGACCCATAGCAACTTGGTCTGCTCCGTGACCTCCTGCCAGCGAGCCTTCGACGCTTCACGTGTGCCTCAAAGTGCACCCAGCGTGGTACAAGTGCCGGGGTGACATCGCTGTCGCTTAGTGGTGAAGGGCGGTTGTGTGTGTTAATTTGGTTGCGGAGAGAGTGGAATTGTCTTGCGTTACCTGGGCCGTGTGCTTCTGACCAACTCCGGTTTGGCAGCGGAGGACTTGCTCTGAGTCGGTCGAGCGGCATGAATCGCTGTGTGAGAGCTGGTCTGGCCTGTCGCTCCACACGAAGCTCCCAGTCTTCTTGGCGACAGCTGTGCTTAAGAACGTGGACCTCTTGGAAGGAACACAGTGGCTGATTTTACATTTTCTGCTTGGCCTGCCTACGATCCATTCTGGATCGTGTGAGGAGCTCACATCCCCGAAATACAGTAAAACCTTGGATTGCGAGCATAATTCGTTCCAGAAACATGTTTGTAATCCAAAGCACTCGTATATCAAAGCACTTGTATGTCAGTTGTGATCACGTGATGCTCGGCAGACAAAGCGTATACGTACTACTCGTATTGCAAGACCTCGCTCGTTTTTCAAATTAATATTTATTTAAATTTTTTGATCGTCTTGCAAAACACTCGCAGACCAAGTTACTCGCATTCCAAGGTTTTACTGTAATCTTAAAGTACTGTTGCATTGGTGAGCTCCGACACGGGAGGCTGCGTTGCCTGGGTCACGTTGCCCGTATGCTCAGCCTCCTTATACCCGAGCGGTTTCTGTTTGGCCAGATAGGGACTTAACGGGCACAGCACGGGCTGGAGAGGAGATAAGGTACAGAAGGCTGTGACTCACTGTAAGTCGCACGCTGCGCTACGAACCCAGGGCGGCTCGAGTTTGATTACCGCTCACGGCCAGCACCATTGAAGATTATCTGAACCGGTCCCGGGCCTCCCCATAGGTCGACTGAGCCTCAAATTAGTATCTGTTGCGGTGTGTAAACATCACCGCTGGGGATACAAAGGTGGTCGCGAGTGGTGCCGGCTTACAACCGCTCACCACTCTCGTGTTACACGTGCCGGCCTTTATTGGTGTTCAGGAACAGCACTTGTCCCCGATAGTGGGTCGACTCGGCCTTAAATGAGCGCCCGGTGCGGCATGTAAATATCAGCACTGGGGAAACAAAGGCGGCGGGGCGTGGTGCTCCCCGGCCCACCTCTAGGATTTGGTGTTGCATGTTATTTATGTAGTTTGTTGTAAAAACTCGGTCACAGTCCCTGTGATCACTGTTACGTTGCAATTATGGCTTTAGTTTTTGGTGATTTGGAAAGCGTTTTTTGGTTTGGACATGCTTGTTTTGTTGTAGTACGGAGTTAGACTGATGGCCTTAATCTAAGTTTTCTTGTGGTTGTTGTTGTTTGACTTGCACATCCCACTGGGATTTTTTGCACACAGCGTTGGTGTACAGTGCTTTTTTCAGGAATATTTAGCTGTTTTTTTTTCATGGATTTTATGTTTGCACAGTCACACAAAGTCACTTCAAGATGTTTTTCTTGTTCGTGTTTTTGTTTTTTTGTTGTGGTTGCACCCGATTCAAGAGCCGAATGGCTCACAGGGCTATACCAAAATAAAAAAAACTGAAAAAATAACCTCCTCGTGCGATGTGCCGGCCTTCATAGGTGCTACTCGCGAACAGCACTTGCTCCGAACAGTCGGAGGTTACATGGTGGGTGGGGGAACGTTATCTTTGTGTCTCTGTGCGCTTGCAGTAAGAAGCTCGACTCCCTGGTGCAGAAGCTGCAGGACTTCATGACTCAGTCGGTCGGCGAGGAAGAGGCGGAGGCAGAAATCATGGGCTCCGGTGAGTGTGCGGGTGAGCTGGTGGTGGGTGAGCGAGCGGGTGAATGGGGAGGTGAGTTAATTGGGTTAGGTAGGTAGGTGAGTGAGTGGATGGATGGAGGAGGCTCGTGAAGGACGCTGCTGGGCAGTTGGAGGCAGTCGCCCTCCCAACAACAATGGAGGGCAGAGGAGCGACGCTCGCAACAAGGAGCGGAGCGCCGGGCGGCTAAAATGCAGCGAGTTGTCACAGTAGAGGGGGCAAAGCTGATCATCTCAGTCAACCCATGGCACCAGGGTCTGTCCCGTGACCTCCTGTCAGCGAGCCTTCGACACTTCACGTGGCCTCAAAGTGCACCTGGCCTGGCACAGGCGTGTGGAGACGTCACCATCACTTAGTGGGTAATGGCGGGTGTTGGCGAGTGGGTGGGCAGTGGCTACGCGCGTGGCTGCCTGTAATGCAGCGCTGCGGCGGTGGCGGCAGCAGCGAGGGTTGGTGCATCACCCGCACACCAACGTCACGAAGTTCCCCATCTTCCCGTGGGCATGCGAGGAGGAGAATGCCGTAGAGCAAATGTGGGCTCCCATCTGTTCGATCTGTATGAGATCGAGTGTTGCTCCCTTGCGCGTATGGGTGCTTTCCGGGTGCTCCGGTTTCCTCCTGCACATAAACACTGATTAATTGGCCGATAACTCCTTTATATATAGAGGACCGCAGAGCTTGGGGGGGAAAAAAAATGTCGTGCCAGCTCAGCGCATGGATGCCGCCTTTCCGCTCGTCTGTGGTTCCTCCTCCTGTCACCTCGGAGTCGTTCTCTCTCTACGAGAGCGAGCGAGCGAGTACTGTGCGGCATGTTACAAGTTATTACTATGAGTGAGTGAATGATTTGATGACAAGGTCGTTGAGAGAGGAGGTCAGTGAGCGAGTGAGTTAGTTTGGTGTGTAGGCGATTTGGCAAGCGGTTGAGCTACTCTGTAAGTGAACGAGTGAGTTGACTGCAAGGTAGTCGAGTGAGTGCGCGGTTGAGTCACTTAGTTGGCAGGTAGGAGGCTTAGCGAGTGTATTCGTGATTTAGTGAGTGCTTGGGTGTGGGTGGTGAGTAAATGATCGAGTGGGTGAGCATGCGAGTGAGTTTGTGGGTAGGTGATTTATATGTACGTGGTTGGGCGATTCATTGAGTTAGTTGGTGACAAGGTAGTTGAGTGGGTAGGTGGATGAGTGAGTCTGTTAGTTTAATGGGTGGGCGAGTCGGTGAGTAGATGGTTGAGCGACTGAGTGAGGCGTTTTGGTAAGTGGTTTACTGAAGTAGTGGGTGATGGAGTGATTCTGTGCATTGATGCTTGAGTTAGTGGATGAGTGAGTAGGTGGGGGAGTCGGTGTGTGAGTGAGCAAATTAATGGGTTGGTGGTTGAGTTTGTAGGTTTGGTGGCTGAGTGAGTTGGTGAGTGGTAGCTGGTGGAGTGAGTGATTTGGTGGGTGGTAGGTTCTTTGGTAAGTGCATGAGTTGGTGGGTGGGTGGATTAGTTGGTGTGGGTGAGCTAGACGAGACGGTGGGTTTGTGCTAGGGCAAATGAGTCACTGGGCCGGTGGCTTGGTGAGTGGATGAGTTCGTGGTTTGAGTGACTTTGTGGATAGGTGGGCGGGTGAGTGAGCAAATGTTTATGGGTTGATGAGCCAGTGAGAAGATCATTTAAGGGGTTAATACCTCCTTGCTTTGATTTGTATCAGGGCCAGAGTCTTTTCAGTCAAATATGGTCCATGAATGTATTCATTTATACATGAGTGATGGGTAGGCCCAGAACATGACTCCCGCCCTCCACTCTTGCCTGAATGGACAGCCGTAAGAGGTCACTTAAACCAGGCAGGAGATCTAGGCAAGGGCAGGCCTATGAATTAAAAAAATATTTGTGATTTCATTGTATACAAACAAGTAATATATTGTCATAATATAAAAATAAGAATAGGTTTTACCCTTTCTGGCAATAAAACAGGAGGTGTTAAGATGTTAAAACACCACATTGAAACCTTTTGCAAGGAATCAAGTTACTGCAGTAACCACACACGGTGCTTTGTGGTGAACATGCAAACACACGTGGCTCTGATAATATGGTCACGTAGATAGGAACAGATTAATAAAATAAACAATAAACTACGACGTTTAGATCGCTTGTGTTGTGTCGTAGTTTGTGTTGTGATCGAAACGTAGTTTATTTTATATTTATTATTTTGTATTAATTTGTACCTATCTACGTGACTTTACCGAAAGACCCAAAAAATATGAATTCCTGCAGTCACGAAAGCTTTAAGTCAAGATTTACTATATAGCATTGACCCTGAAACTGATTGGCTTACACCAGAGACAGCCTTAAGGGCCTAGTATCACCATCAGTGTCAGAACAAAGAACGCCCAAAGACGAACAGTACAAAGACAGTGTACGTATCAGAGCATTTACAGCGCGGGGTGAGCAGTTACAAAATATTGTCATCTCCATATATATAAAAGGCACAGTTTTGAATGTGTGTCTGTTCAAAATGTTTAGCGTACTTCCCGACATGCACCAAACTTGAAATTTGCCATGTGGGTACTTTCCAGACTGTACACCATGCAAAAATTATAAAAAAATACACTTTTGGTTTTTTTTTGGGGGGGAGCTCAATAATGCATTTATTTTTTGCACGGCAAGTGAGCTGTGACGTCAAATCTGTCATGTGACCCGCGTATGTGGAAGCGTAACGCATTGTAGTGTTGTGGTTAGCGCTATGCTGCGCTACGAACCCGGCGACCCGAGTTCGATTCCTGCTCACGGACACCACCGGTGACGATTATTTCAACCGCTCCTGGGCCTCCCCTAGGTCGACTCAGCCTCAAACGAGTAACTGGTGTGGTGTGTGAACATCGCCACTGGGAAGACAAAGGCGGCCGGGCGTGGTGAATCCATGTCCCGGGTGAAGCCGGGTAGTACAGCTCGTTAAATAATAAAGAAAACCGGTATTTACTGATTACGAATGCACATATTTAGCCTGTGTTATGACGCAAATGTAGAAGGTGGATCATGCATTTATGTGTTAGGGTGTATTCGTGATGGATGTCTGGACTGGTACTGGGCCTCCCCTAGGTCGACCCGGCCTCAAATCAGTACTTGGTGTGGCGTGTATGAAACATCGACACAGGAGACACAAAGGCGGCCGGGCGGGCATGGTGTTGGCCACCCACTTAATGTGTGCTTGCTATAACAGCACATGCCAAAAGAGTCTGTTGTAGGCTATACAGAGGACCCATATCTTTGTGCGAGTGTGTTGTGGGCAGTGGTTAGCGCACTTCGCTGCGAACCCGGTGGCCAACACCAATAACGATTATCTGAACGGATCGGCTCAGCCTCAAATGTGTACCTCATGTGATTTGTACAAACATCGCCACTTTGGAGATTAAGGCGGCCGGGAGTGGTGCTGGCCACCCACCCCCTCGTGTGCCGTGCCGGCCTTCGTAGGTGCTACTCGCTAGCAGCACTTGCCCCAACAGTCTGTTCAGGCGATACGCAGAAATCTAGAATATACGCAGATCTTTGCTTCTGTTGTGGGGAGTGGTGGCACAGAGGTTAGCAAACTGCTCTACGAACCCGGTGCTCTGAATTCAACTCCCACTCATGGTCAACACCAGTGACGATTATCTGAACTGGCCCTGGGCCTCCCCTGGGTCAACTGAACCTCAAATGAGTTCACATGGTGGAGTGCGTATTAAACATCAGCACACTGGGGAAAGAAAAACGGCTGGCCGGAGTACTGGCTGCACCACACAACCCCCTTGTGTGCTGTGCCGACATTCATGGGTTGCTCCCCTCACGTACAACAACCACCATTTAATGCCGGTATCGGCACCACAGCGGCGGTTCCAGGCTCGGTGCACTTTGAGGCCATCACGCCAAGTGTGGAGGCCTCTTCATCAGGAGGTCACGGGACAGACCCGGCAGGCCCCGTGGGTTGGCTGACTGAGATGATGCCTCCTCGCTGCGTTTTATCCGCCCGGCGCTCCGCTCGTTGTTGCGAGCGTCGCTCCTCCGCCCTCCGTTGTTGTTGGTGGGCGGCTGCCTCCCAACTTACCAGCAGCGTTCTTCACGAAACTCCCCCTCCACAGAGGCCGATCTTGACACCTCTGATATCAGTCACTGGCAAGCCCAATTAGCTCCACATCCTCCCGTACCGTGTCAGCCCGTCTCTTCTCCAGCACGTGCTGCGCCCGTTTTTAGCCGCCTTTTTGCTGGCCAATCAGAAGCTGATTGGGCATGCGGTGGCTGCCTGTATCTGCCCAGTAGCGTCCTTCACGAGCCTCCTGCACGCACGCACGTGCACACATGCACGCGTCTTCTATTCCCCTCCCGTCGAGGCTTTTAACGGAGTTCCTTTTCAATTTGGATCGCAGCACTGCTGGGGATATTGGAAAGCAGAAAGTGGCTTACGGTATAAATTGGTCTTTGGTCACCGGTTGTAGTGTTGTTGTTGCAATGCCGATGCGGGTGTGTGTGGTGAGTGGTAGTGTAGCGGTTAACGCGCTGTGCTACGAACCTGGCGACCCGGGTTCGATTCACGCTCATGGCAAACACCGGTGATGATTATCTGAACCGGTTCTGGGCCTCTCCTAGGTCGACTCAGCCTCAAATGAGTACCTGGTGTGGTGTGTGGTAAACATCACCGCTTGGGGAGACAAAGGCGCCGTGCGTGGTGTTGGCCACCCACCTCCTCGTGTGCCGTGCCGGCCTTTATAGGTGCTCGCTAACAGCACTTGCCCCTACAGTCTGTTAAGTCTATACGGGGATCTTTGTTTTTTGTGTGTGTGTGCGTGCGTGTGTGTCATCATGTTGGGTTACTTCAATGCCCGAGTTGGTCATGATACTGGCACCTGGTCTGGAGTGATTGGAGGGCATGGGCCAGATCAGCTCAATAACAACGGTAGGAGGCTGCTAGATTTTTGTGCAGCCCATGGGCTTGTAATTACCAACACGCTGTTCCGGCATCGGCGCATCCACACA